TATGAGTCTTTCTAACCCCATCCCTCACCCTGGCCCTGGCCTGGTTTTATGATGAAAGCCTAGCTCTGCACACGTCTCTTCTGAATAACAATGTGAGGAGCCTGATGGATTTTGCAGAAACACAGTGTACAGGGTAGAAACCCTCATGCCAGGCAGAAGAAACAGAGGCTGTTAACTAAACAATGAATGAGCTTCTCCCAAGTGCGAATGTTTGGAGGAGCTAGGGAGACTGCAGGTGAATCAGACAGTTCAGCCCTCCAGACATTTCCCTTTTAGGGGGAGAGGCAACCCTATGCATATGTAACTGTGGATGTGAGAGCATTGTAGGGATATGGGTGTAGGCGGATCAAGAAAGGATTATTGAAAGGTGGCTTTTGAGCTGGATCTTAAAATTAGTAGAACTCCAACAGGCAGAATATTGGAAAATAAGAAGGTGTTTGAGACAAATGGAAGCCCCTGAGCAGAATCAGGAGGGAGGAACCAGACAGCAGAGTGTGTTTGCACCCTGGTTAATGAAAAGGATTCATTCATTCAGTTACTAACCCCAAGGCTGGAAATTTGAGCTCACTCTGAAGCGCCCAGAAAGAAAGTCCTGACAATCCACTTCCTAAAATGCACAGGTCTACTCCAACACGCATGGGGCCACACTGAGTTAAAGTCAACTCATGGCAAAGCAAGGCTGGTGTGGCTTCATGGGAGGGTAAGAGGGTGTGGAGGTCAGGTCGGAAGGTGGTCTGTAATAGGTTAAAGGCAAGAGGAGTCAAGTTGTCGAGAATGCTTCAACCTTCACCAAGTGAGAGTTTGGGTTGGGCATGGGCAAGAGGAGATCGGCTCTTGAAAGGGAGAAGTAGTGAAAGGATTGCTGGGAATGCTGGCATGGGTGAGAGCAGAGAAGGGTCCAGGTATGGCATGCTCCCTGGACACCACTTGAGGGGGAGGAGGGATGCCAATGAGCAGTTTTTAGTCGACATCTTAACCTCCATCGCCAGCTGTGAAACATCATTCAGCAACTGGAAGCCAATTGCCACAGGCGTTATCTTCCATAGATACCTGGATGCTGAGACCTGGAGTTTGATTAAAGGAACCCCAGCAGAGTGAGTGTGCACTGGCTGTGATCAGATTCACCTGTAGCAGGCCGATCACACACAACCTTCCCTTGAACCCCATCAGGAAATCACCACGAAATTCCTCACTCTCATAAATTAAGAACCACCACGGTAGCAAGGACACTTTTGGGGAAAACAGCAGCGACCTTCCCTTGAACCCCATCAGGAAATCACCACAAAATCCCTCGCTCCCATAAGTGAGAGACAACCACAGTAGCCAGGACAATTTGGGGCGGGCGGGCCTCACAGCTGTTCCTGCCAGCAGGGGTCTTAAACACCCTCATGTAGGGTAATATCACAGTGGTCTCAATCAGTGTGTGTTGTGAGCCAACAAGATGTGGCAGTGCAGGGGAGGACCAGGACTCCATTTTGAGCCCCATCTTCCAGAGAGACTGAGGAGGTAGCAGTTGGGGATGGCAGAGAGAAAGAAGAGTAGGGAGAGAAGAGACCGTTCCCATTGTAACAAACTTGCAGTAACTTCCAGTTACGGGAGCCTCCTCAGCAAGCCAGGATGCGGTACATTTACCAGACACACTCACCCACTAACTTCTCCAGCCAACCTCTGAGTTCCAAGGTCCTAATTAATGAAAACCAGATTTTAAGACCAACAATGATTGCAATAAGTTCCCACGTGATCCCCTAGACTCAGGAATTTCTGAGACAATGCATTTGAAATATTCGATTCCATTGTGCCTGTCAATATAAGGGTGTTTGTTAGACCCTGTGTTCTGAAGTCTGATTCCCAACGACTATTGACTGAACTTGCACTACGTACTGGGCACAGTGTTCATCTCATGGATCACCGAGTTGAATCTTCACAGCTAAGCTATATTGAAGTTGCTATTATTATATTCCTATACTACATCAGGGACAATGAGAGAGGCTTTGAAAAGTTAAGAACTTGCCCAACATCACTCAACCAAAAGTTGTCTGATTATGCAAACTATACTTCTGGCAGATGCTTGTCCCACATCCAGAAATGGCTCAGTTAGTACCAGGTGAGGGAAGTGAGGTGCTCACTTTGGGTGTAAAATACAAGGGATTCTTCAACCTTAATAATCCAGGTCAGTAATATTTTAATGCAATAATTAAAAAAAAAAATCAAAATGAATGCAAATATCCACAATGAAAAAGTACCAAAATTCTCAATGAAGACTAACAAGTGATGGGATCCGCAGGGTTGGGTGATGGGGGTAGTCTCTTGTGGGTTTGTCTGTACTGAGCTGTAGCTCTGATTCCTGGAGTTTAGAGACTTGCTCATCACTTTCCCTTTACTTGAGGTTCTTATGAAGTACATCTCTCCTACCTTCTTTCCTTTTAGTTAAATCCCAAGCAGATCGTTCAGCAATCGGGTAATAAAAATTCCCAAGTGAAACAGAGAGAGCGTTTGGAGTCACATGGGAATGAATGAACGTTAGCTTACTGTGCCCTGCTTCACACCACTGCTGGGGCTCCTGAGGGGAATTTATAGGAAAATCCAGGGTCACTCCTGAGTCGGGGAAGCCTACCCCAGAGCCTTTGAGGGGTGTGGGGCATTCAGCAGAGGATGCTCTTGTGCTCTTGGGGTGGTCAGCTTCTTGACATCTGAGCTGACTTCCTAAAGCAGTACCCTGGTCATTCACTGAAATGAGTAGGGCTCTTGGTTTTGCCCTTCTCTTCCCAAGGCCTTGACTCACAGTTTCCTGGAAGGCAGCTGGACGCAGCCTTTGGAGAGGGGTAGATGTATAGGAGGAACAGAGGCAGGCACTATGGAGGGGAAGCCGTTCAACTAGACACAGTAGCCAAGTTGTTGAGAGTTCCTTGGAAAGGAGAGGTAGAAAATTCTCCAGTTCTCGGCAAATCTCCAACCAGGCAGGGTTAGGAATTTAACCCACTGGGGAATTCAAGGGCCCTTCTATTTATCAAAGAAGCTCAGGTGACACCGTGGTTAAAGTGCTCCGCTGCCAAGTAAAAGATCTTTGGTTCAAATCCCCAGCTACTCTGCAGGAGAACAATAAGGCAGTCAAGCTTCCATAAAGACTTACAGCCTTGGAAACCCTAAGGGGCTCTATTACTCTTTCTACCAAGTTGCTAAGTCAGAATTGACTCTACTGAAGTAGAGTCAGTTTAGTCTATTGAACGAAGAAGATGCAGTGGTTAAAGTGCTCATCTGCTAACTGACCAGCTTGCTCTATGAGAGAAAGATGTGGCAGTCTGCTTTGGTAACTATGGCAGCTTTGGAAACCCCATCGGATAGTTTCGCTTTGTCCTACAGAGTCACTGTGGTTGGTATCAGCTCAGCAGCACAACGGTAATGGGTCTTTGGTTTATTTAGCAACCTAGTTGTTATGTGCCATGGAGTTGTGGAGTTGCTTCTGACTCATAGCAAATCTGTACAGGGTTTCCGAGGCTATAAATCTTTACAGGAGCAGAAAGCCTCATCTTTCTCCCTCAGAACAGCTGGTAGTTTCGAACTGCTGACCTTGTGGTTCGCAGCCCAATTCATAACCACTACGCTACCAGAGCTCCTAGCAACCTAAATGATGTAAATAATTAATGTGCTCAGCTGTTAACCAAAAGGTCAGATTTGAGTTACCCAGAGACAGGAAGAAAGGCCTGGTGATCAACCTACCTCTGAAAAAGCAGCCATTTGAAAACTCTGTGGAGTACAGTTCTGCTCTGACACAAAGTGTTGCCATGAGTCAAAAGTCATTAGATGGCAAACAACGCCCCCCCCCCCCGCCCCCGCCCATGTAGCAACCAGGGAGACAAAGTGTGGCTTGTCTATTCGATTTGCTATTTGAGGACAACAAGGGGGCATCTTCAAACATGAAGACAAAATATCATTGAAGAAATGAGTATTGTGCTTGAAATTTGATTAAAAGGTATATAGAGGATTTAGGATCTGAAGGCCTGGGTGTGAGCTCACGTCTAGGTTGACCTGGGACTGAGGGGCTTCCCAGCACAGGGGACCGGGCAAACTGGGATGAGGTAGTCGGTCTGCTTCATGCCATCCTAATGGTTTTCCCCTCAAATGTTCAGCTTCTCATTTTCCACATTTAGAATTCCGATAATACCACTTGCTGTGATTTGGAAAGACCAATCAATCGCTACAAAAGGACACGGTGGGTAAAGTAGAAAGTGAGTGGAAACGAGGGATCCCCTCACTGAGATGGCTTCACCCAGCAGCACACTCAAACATACCAATGATCATGCAGATGCCACCCTAACCAAGCCAAACCCATGGCCATTGAGTCCATTCCCATCCATAGTGGCCCTGCATAGAGTTAGCGAGACTGTACACCTTTAGGGGAGCAGAAAGCCTCATCTTTTCCCCTTGGAGTGGCTCATGGGTTTGAACTACTGATCTTGCAGTTAACAACCCAGTGCAGAACCCCTACCCTACAGCACCACCAGGACTCCTTAAGGATGACACAAGACGGAGCCATCTTTTGCTCGATTGTACATAGGGCACATGAATCTGAGTCAACGCCACCAACAGCAAAGTACCAATAACAATCACCCACCTTGTGAACTTGTAGGATTCAAAGCAGGGAAGGGATGCTTCCCATAGTTCCTTGAACCTCCCACTGCCAGACAGCCCTCCCACGCCTCATTTTCTTCTCAGTATGAGCTCTTTGGAGGCAAGACCATTTTATTCATCTCTGCACTCCCATTTACAATCTCTTGCTGGTACAACCTCCCAGGACCCAGGAGAACTGGGGATAGAGACTCAGCCCCCACTACCAGAGAATCCTAGAACTCTGAGGGGTAGAAACCCCAAGACCATCCGGTCTAGTATCATTCTTGGTAATATTGTTCCTCATTTCATGGTCAGGTAGCCAGAGAGGGTGAGTGACCCCCCCAAGGTCACAAAGTTAGTAAAGAAATGGTCAGTTGCTCCCAGCCACCTACCTGAAGTCTCCTTTCTCCGTCTGGTGGACTTCTTCTCCGTCTCATTGGCCGTGCTCCCAAGAACCCCGAAGTCCTCGCATGGACCTCCCACGTTGTCCATCAGATCTGGGCTGCTGGCCCCTATATCCCGGGACCCTCCAGCTGGGCCCTGGTTAAGCCTGCGCCGGGTCTCTGAAACAGGGAAGTGCCAGTCGGGGGGCTGTGGGAAGGCAGGGTGCTGCTCGGTGAAGATGCGCTCCTCCCGGGGCAGGCTGTGTGGGGTGGCCGCCAGACAGGAGGCTGAAAAGTCGGGGTACGCTGCTGTTGCTGTAGCCGGGAAGTCTGGTTTCTGGTGGAAGGAGAACGGGGTTGGCGGGTAGTGGGGGAGCCCCAATGTTCCATTGCCTTCTGAGTGAGGGTTTCGAAGGCAGCCCCAGACAGGGGCCGGGGGGTGGGGGTTCCGCATACAGCTGCTGGCCACAGGATCCATCTGGGTCTAGGTTGACGGCCTGCCTCAGATCTCTCAAATGTTTGACTCTTTACACTTGTTAGACTTAAAAAAAAAATTTTTAATGCAAAAATAATAATAAAAATAAATAGGAAGAAAAAAAAGCTCAACAGAAAATTTATCCAGTAACCAAAACTATAATCTCTCCTAAAAGTCCACACACATGTGACACACACCTAGGTTGGACTTCACTCCTCACTTCCTGTCCCCCCAGCACACCGGCCTGCCTATTGGGGTCTCTTGTAGTTGTATTTGTCGCCGATGACACTGAACATGTTCACTGGCCCAGCTCAGCCCCACCAGCTGATGAGGAACTCGTCCTGACGCCCGAAGCCAATGCCTGCAGAGGGCCAGTCCGGCACTCTGACACACACTCTTAAATCCTGCCGTGGGGAGAGAGTGACACATTTCTGAAGTGAAATGTGAGAGAGGAGAGGGAGGGGTTAACCCGTGCACACAGGATCCCCTCCAACCAAAACCCGAGTAGGCAACTATTAATCATCAGAAACCTTATATGCACATCTAATGGGATTTGCAGATGGAGACTTTTAAAGAAACATTGTCTGTATTTTTTTTTTTTTTTTTTTTAAAAAGAGGAGAGAGTAGCTGAGACACACAACCTCTTTAATGTGCCTCCTATAACACTATGAAGCTATTTTTATTGCACTGTTAACAAAATTCCCCAAGTCTTGGATTTGGAAAAAGCCTTAAGTCAGATCCAGAATCCATCAAACGCCAAATTCCAGGGAGCAAAGTGAAGAATAAATGCGAGAGACAAGTTTGCTGATTGCATTTGATTTAAAGACCCTTCTACAGCTGCCTGCAGAAAAGGAAGGTAGCTTTAAAGAATGCTTTTTCTTTTTGCAAGTCTCTGTGGCCCACTATGCTCTGTAGTATAAAGAAAGACACACTCTAGTAAAACGTCATTTCTCTCTGCCCAAAGTGACCCTCTCACTTTCTCAGTAACTTAAAAAAACAACCAGATTCTTCCTTCCGCTCTTTAGCTTCCAATTTAAATGCCAATTAGCCACACTTTTCTCTAGAGGAGTTTCCAAGTCATTTTTCTCCCCAGCAAAGGCAAGGCTCTTAAAAAAGAACCTTGAAGTTCCTCTGGACCTCCCTCCACCTGCTCCCTGCCCTCTTAACCTCCGCCCACCTGCTTCCCTTTGTGGACCCCAGAGGCTAAGGCCTCTATGGAATCTGGGCATGGAAATTGGAATCAAGGGGATTCTTTATATTTTTTCCTTTTTTGTATCAATATATATATAAAACATTAAAACACCAAACACACTGCTGTCGAGTTCATTCTGACTCACAGGGACAAAGTAGTACCATATAGAGTTTTAAAAAAACACTGCAATGCTTTATGGGAGCAGACAGCCTCATCTTTTTTCCAAGGAGCAGCTGGTGGATTCGAACTGCTGATCTTTTGGTTAGCAGCCCAACCCTTAACCCACTATACCACCAGGGTTCCAAATAGAACACAACATTTGTCACTGTATCAACTACACAAATCATATAGTACAAGAAATGTTGGCAAATTTTCCATCATCATAGATAGAAACTAACTCACTGTGTCACAAACAGTGGCTCCTAGCAGGGGGACTTTTGTTCCTCAGTGAAGTTCTCCTTGGCAAATAGGTCACTCACTCAGGTCTTCCCGGCGGCAGCTGGACAGAATCTCTTAGAGACTGATGTTTCAAACACACAAGGGTCGGAGCTCCTCTCCCATTGATAGTTCCAGAGCAGGACTAGCAAGATCGGAGAGAAAATGGGCATAGGACCTTAACAACAATGTCTCTTCTGGCCTTCCCCAAAGACACTTGGGTTCCCTGAGGAGGGCTTGTGGGTCTTAGCTTTGCAGACTAAAGGGGAGGGCCCTGGGGTAAGGGTATAAGCAATTCTCTAAGCAGACAGATGTAGGCAGAGAGGAAGGGGGCTCAAAGTGGGGGAATGGTGGCCATGACTTGCCTTTGACATAGAAACACTTGATACATATCCCAGTGGGCAGAACAAGAAACCAGCATCCCTATCTGGGAATGGGCAGCTGGGGCAAGGGGTATGGTAGATGGTGGAAGCAGTGGGTTCATTGCTCTGCTTTGTCCAGGGCTCAAAGCTGTTTCACATACATTTTGCCTTTGAACCTCACAAATCTCTTACTATGGGTAAAATGAGAATTATGTTCTACACTTTTACAGGTGAGGACACCAAGGTTCAGACAGGTGACAGGAGCTCTCAGAAGCACACAACTGAGACATGGCAGAATCAGGAGTTGCCATTGTCAAGTTTGCAGCAACTTGATGCAGCAGAATAAGTACAGGTTTGGGGGTTAGACAGAGCTGAGTTTAAGTTCTGGGTCTGCCACTTCCCAGCGATGTACCATGTACCTGACCTATGTGAGCTTCAGGTTCCTTATCTGGGATGATAATAATAACTGATGTGCATCCACTGATCTCAGCATCATAATGGGTCCCCATTAAAGCCCTCAGGCAAGTGCTATTCTCACCATCTTTGCTGTTCAAAAGGGGAACCCAAAGTCAGAGAGCGGCTCTTGAGTCTACACCAGGTCACACAGCTGTTATGTCAAGGAGCCAGGACCCAAACCCAGGTGGCCTGCTATAACATCCATCTCAGAGTTGTTGGTGAATTTGACATGAAATCATTTCTGGGAAGTAGGTAATTAATATACGCGGCTCTTTTCCTTGCATAGCTAGCTCTCGTTCACCTTGACGATTCTGAAAGGAGAACATGGGCTAGGGCGTGCTGAGGAAATTCCACAGAAGCAGAATTCTGTGCTGTGGGGGCTCTGGAAGGAACCCACAGATGGCTGGAAGGACGATCTGACGTGTCAGCTTCCCTAGGAAAACCTTCCCTGGGTCTGGCAACTAGGCCTGCAGGCTGTAACCGGATCGGATTCCTGCTCCAGCCTCTGCATCTGGCCTAGGGACCCCAGCCTAGGGAGGCCCAGCAGCCTGGCCCTTTGCCCCTGGAAAGGGTGGTCCCTGGGTCATGGTGGGGTGGGTGGAGAGGTCAGGAGGGGTAGTGGGGAGGGGGCATAGCGGGGACACTGTGCTGAGAACGCAAGGCCCTGGCACCCCGGCGCCCGAACAGCTGCTGGTGTCTGTCAGCCACCCCGCGGGGGCACGGCCGGGGGCCTGCTGGTCTCTACATCTTCCTGACAGGCCCCTCTTCTGAGGTCAGGAAAAAACAACAAAAGTTCCTCCCTTCACGGCAACCCATTTGTTAGATGAAGGCTGGGGACCAGCACCTTTAACCCCCTCAAAGTCCGCATTTTCCTGTCAAGGCCCTGCAGGCCCATGAGACAGAGATGGATGGCAATGGATGTTTGTAGAAAAAGCCCTGTGGCCAGGCAGCCAAGGGAGCAGGGATTTCAGGAAGGGAGGAGACCCCGGTTTCTGGTTGTTGTTGGAGGTGGCAGGAGGAGGAAGAGGAAAAGCATGAGTTGGGAGGAGGGCCCCTGAGGAGGGTGTTCTGCAATACCTGAGCCATTCCATGAAACTGCTGGAATTTCCTCAGTTGTGCACAATAAACTAGTCTTTGTCTTTGGCACCAGACCTGCTTCCATGCCGGCCTATCTGCCCACCAGTGCCTGGAGATGCTCTGTTTTGGGAAGAACCTGAGGCCTCCCTCACCCAAGGTCCAGAACCTGGCCTTAAGGTGTGACTTGCCTTTCCATTGGCTGTGTGGTCTTGGACAAGTCACACGTCGTTACCCAGCCTCCATTTCCTCAGTGACAAAACAGATGACAGAACCAACCTCACGGGTTATTGTGTGAAGAAATGAACTGCCACCTGGGAACAGTCTGCTGACTGAGGGGACTGTTACGGCTTCTCTTTCCTTAAGTGTGTGGAACCACCAGATAGGTCATGCCCAGGTGCCTAGTGGATGGTGTAAAACTGTCTATCCTAGCCCACGTTCTGTGGCAACATTACTCCAAGGTCAAGATCATAGCTCTGGGTGTCAAGAGAACTGGGTTTAAATTCCAGCTCTGCCACTAATAAACTGGATGGCTTTGAGCAACTCTATCTGAGTCCTGGATAATGCACTAGACCACAAGGTCGGTTTATACCTCAAGGTTGGTAGTTCGAACTCACCAGCCGCTCTTCGGAACCATTGTACAGGGGTCGCTAAGAGTCAGAAACAATTAGACAGCATTTAACAACAACACCACCTGAGTTTCTGTTTCCTCATCTGTTCAACGGGGATAAACTTTTTCTTCCTTCCTCATTGGGTTTCTGAGAGGAGGGAGTGAGATGATCCGAAGCTGAAAGATGCAGTCATTAGTGTTCACTCACAGAGTAAAACACATGACAAGGTGCTTGTTGTCTACCAAGGTCTGAGGGAGTGGAGCAGAAGACAAACAAGTGTTGAATATGGTAGAAATACCTCTGGACTGGGATTTTTACCCTCGGGCCTGATAGTTATTTGACTGTGTATGTCCTTTGCTTCTCAGAAGACTTTGAAACAGTAGGGCTTTTGTGAGGCTGGGATGAGATGATCCACGAGTTAGAGTTCAGGAAACCACAGAACACAGTCCTCATGATTGGGGCTAAGATAGTCTACCCCAAGGACCCAAGAATGGACTCTTTGCCTAAGTTGCAGATAAATAGTGACTTAATGGAGACAAATTTCTCAGATGAATGTTTTCTTTCAATGTCTCTGTTTTTTAAACCTTTGATGCTGGTCAGCACTTGTCTACTACCAAAATTATAGACAGAAGACTGCAAAGCATGATAGCAAACAGAATGGCCTGTATTCCAAACCTGGCTCTGGGGTGGGTCACCTGCTCTCATTAAACCTCAGTTTCCTGAACTGTGAATTGAAACCTCACTGAACAGGCAGGGTCCAGACACTTCATATGTATATGCTCACAGAAGGGGCACCTTCAGAGTGTTCTATATCTGATTTAGAGAACATGTTGATTTGCAAGGTGGGGGATGGTGCCCCTGGAGATGAACCTGCAT